AAAATCATTTTCCATACTGATTTTTGGAAAGCTGTAATTTTTCTATTTTTTGAGTTAGGTCAGTAAATACTGTGCTCTCTATTCTCATTTGTAGAGGGGTATTCGTGGTTAAAATTATGCCACACATTTTTGAAACACGCGATATATATTTTTGTCTTCTAGAGAATTTTGTTAGTTGGTATCGGTTGGTAACACTCGACGCTCACCTGATTTTTTGAATCATTTCTGCCGTTTGTCATTAAAAATAAAATTTACAAATTATTAGTTATTACAATATAATAATAATAAAATATGAACCAACAGAATTTAGTTTGCACTCCGCCCGAAATTCGCGAAATTACACTTGAGTAGTTGGGGTTGAAAATTTTTCAAAACACTGTTCAATATAATACTAAAAATGACCGGACAGTTTTTTAATTCATATAATAAGTTCACAAGTATACATCTAACAATAAAAGTTAAAATAATACTCTATTGTAGGTGGGTATCAATTTTTTTTTAATTTTTGAATTTGGTTGCTTCATATTGCTTGAAACAGCTACAATATTGGGTTTCATCGGCAAAGTAAAAATTGACCATAACTTCAAGTGAAATTTCATGTAAATAACGATCAACAACTAGCGAACCAATTCAGCGAGATTAATCGAAAATTTAGCCGAGGTTGACAATTGACAGATAGTTGCAGTTGTCCAACATTTAAAAACTAAATAACCCCAAATTCATTAAAGTACAGTGTACTTTTATAGATAGCCATAAACGACTCCTACTGAGAGACGTTAATAAACGTATTATAAACGCAAATTAGAAAAAGTTTTTTTTATGTTCTCATTTGATACTACCAAGGATAAAATTTTCTCGGTCTATTTAAGAATCACCCTGTATCTATTACAAACCGAGCATGGAAGAACTTCATTACAGCGAGCGTTGCTTCGAGAGCAAAGCTCGGCTCAAGGGTGATATGAAGCTTTCCTTTGAGGTTTGTCTACTGTTTTATTCGCAATCATTCAGTGTTAAAATTTCATTTACTATAAATTCGGAATAATAGTAAATATCCTGATCTAACACGTTTAAGTCAACGTAAGCGGGGTATGACAATGTAAAATTTATAATGTCAAAATGACAATTCCAAAAAATTACAATTTATCTTTTTTTTAGATAGTTTATGAATATTTCAAATTTTGTATGGCAGTGTTGGTAAATAAAGAACGTCAAGTGACAACATACTGGGTGCGTCAGAACTCGCACCCCAGAGAAAAATGTCAAATGCCGGCGGCAATTGGTCGCCAAAAAGTGCAGCCGAAGAAGTAATTTTTGCTTGCATAAGAAAGTTATTAGACTCTTAAATCCACCAATCCCAGAAGGACACCTCAAGGTGTAATTGAAAAATTATATTTTATATCCGTTGCTAAATTACAAAAATAATACCAATTTCTGGCGCATCCCGTATAATCTAACTAATTGCAATATCCCATTATCATCAACTACTTACTTGAGTTTTTAAGTTGGAAGTATTTTCTTATTCTTATCGTAAATGAGGTAATGAGGTAATTTTTGTATTTCTGAATCTATTAAAAGAATTTTCTAACTTCATACTATAAAATATACAGGGGTGTTCGGTCCAAGTCGCCCCGGCTGATAACACCTAAACTTACTTCTTTTTTTCCAAAAATTAAATATTTAAGTAATAATATTCATTCTTGGCTTTCTTAATAAATGTATCAAATTTTTTTAACACATCCTGTGTTGCCGGAAATGCTACCAAATTTAGCTTTTCAAATGGAACACCCATGTTTTTTTTTTCCTCCAAACAATAATAATTGACATGAAAAATACTGTAAACCACTATTTATTACGTTTTGCGTAACACAATGCAGTCAAAAAACATCTTGAATCTTAGAATGTTATAAGGAAATTGGTCGCGTAGCCTAATTTTTAATTTTAAAGGAAAGGAGTGAATAAAAAACTACTTGGATACAGTTTAATTGTTGGTTTGACAAATCTAATTTGTCAGTTGATGAGCGAGTTCTCTTATGGAAACTCTTGGATTTTCTTCGACTGATAACAGAACATTCAGATTTCTATTTTCTTGTTCTTCAGAAAGAACTACAGGTATTTTAGTTTTAAGAAGAGGTTTTTGATTTAATCGTCGTCTGCGTTGATTGACAGTAATAAAGTCTATGCAATAGGCCAAAAACAACTTTGAACAGATATGAGAATATTTCAAGGGGTTTTCTCTGTAGCACCGCCTCCTTAATAAAATGTATCAATATCCCGCCTGGGCATTTCGTAAAAAATGCATTGGAGCAGTGATTCCAATTTTTTCTTAGTTACGGGGGTTACTAAGGAAAAACTGAATGATTTTTAATTATTAACGCAAAATAACGCAATTAATAAATGCTGGGAAGGAAGGATACAACAAAACTAGATACGCCAGGGAAAATTGATATTATGAGATTGAACCCTTTACGCTAAAAAACTGGATTTGTCAAAAATTTTCCGCAGATTAAAGCGCCAACGGGAATCACTTGAACTCAAAAAATGCCCAGGCGAGAAAAGGATTATTTCTATGGAGACGGCGATGCTCTGTAGTAATATCATAAGTGTTAAAATTTTGTCGGCAAAATTTTCAGATTGTACGAGAGTTTGTTGCATAGCAATTTATCGAGTGACATTGTTAGAAAAACCTCGAGTCGCAGACGAGAGGTTTTTGAACAATGTCATGAGCCAAATTGGCAAACAAAAACTTGAGTAAATCAATCGAAAAATTTTGCCAGACCAAATTTTACCACGAATGGTATTCGGGGGACTATTTCATGAATAAGACTACACATTCAAGTCTACAACTATTTATTATAAATATTAAATGTACAATTATTGTAAACATGAGTTTCTAACTGTATTGTTGATAAGGTACCTCGTAAGCTCTCTAAACGCCCAGTCTTGTAAAATTTCTGCTAGACGATCTATTGGAGTATCGGCAGTCAGCTCATAATTTCTTTCTTCGCCAGAACTGAGAGAATTGCTTCCATATACAAACCTTCGTCTTGATCGTGTTTTGGGGAACACTTAATGAACTTGCAAGTGTAATGTCAGGAATTGATACATTCCCAAATCGCGTGTTTTCATTCTTTTTTCAAATTAAATAAAATAACTGTCAAAATATTTAAAACGACAGAAGTTGTTTGGACTGTTACCATGGGGTAAAATTTTATCACTTGAAAACTAGCTTGGTTTCGATTTTGTTCGTAAATATCCTTCACTCATTGGCTCTAAATATGAGGTGAAGGCGATAAAATTTTGCTTTCATCAATTTTATCGATTGAAATTTTTTACTCATTGTTGAATGACGAGATGCTATTGGCCGAAATGTAAATGAATGAAATAGTCAAAGCAAAAAAATAGTAGAAAATAATAGAGAACTAATGAACTAATTAATAGAGAATAAAATTAATCCTTGTGTTTTTTATTCGAAGTATTGAAGAAATAATAAAGAGTTGATTGACATAACTCAAATATGGCGTCCATAAGAAAATCCAAAGTTGAGAGTTGTAACTCTGACATCAAGAGCGCCTTGGAAAATACGATGACAGATTTAAATTCCTTGTAAAAAAGTGTCTTAAGAATGTCCTAGTTAGGTCTTTTAGTTTTCGCTTGAAAAAATAAAAACGGGAAACTTCAAATTTCCGTTTTTTTCCAATAATTCAAAAACTAATAATGACACATTAAATTTCTTCTTTCAAATTATTGTTCAGCATAAAAATACGCAACTTTGCCCTAATTTAACCGACCTCGTATCTCTTTTATTAACTGAGATCCCTATGGTGGAGCTCGAAGAACAAACACCCTGTATAGTTACAGTTATTTTAATAGTTATTCACGTATTCATCAGAGCTGTTAAAAACTCCCGACTGAGGGGGTTGTTTTGAGGCCCCACAAAGAAGAACCTTAATCCTCCCGCGATCATTGTGGCCCTTAATAGCACATGGTACATATAACGTTTGTAGTCATCTTAAATTACCATATTTAAAAAAAAATAATTTTCGAATTCTGAAAATGTTAATATTTGAAGTGTCAAAGCTATCAAAAAGTCGGGCTTTAAAGCGCGAGTAATAGCTATTTATGGTATTAAACCGGTAGAAACACTTTTATGGCCGCGCCAATACTTTACAGGTCGAACCGTAAGGCGAGACCTGTATGTTTGGCAAGGCCATAAAAATGCTACCGGTCGTATATTGTATAACATTTTTTTGGGATACTGCAACGATTACATTCAAATTAAACAAAATTTCATGAAAACAAAAATTTGCGTTTACAAACGAGTCCCGTAGATAGGCTACCTGATCTACCGGACTACCAATTCAGTATCCTAAAAAACCTCTTAACAGTGATACAGTAATGGACAGTGAATTTCGTCCACCCCATTTCTGTGAATTCACAAAAATTCACTGTAGTCTGTGCTTTATTGTCATGATAACAGACATTCAAATACGTATTGTCAAATTCGAACTCTATACTTTTGGGCATACCAAGGACTACCATTTCAAAGGACAAAGGTGAAAAGTAGCAAGAAGCATCGAGCATTCTGTCAACATGACAAACGTTAATCAAAATTCTGAAACAAGGTTAGGAAAACCTAAAGACTAATTTACACTTTTAATCTGACAGGTAAATTGGGTGGACGAAATTCACTGTCCATCACTGTACTAGGGTGGTATTAGATATTGGCAGTTTAACGATTGTAGATTGTTGAATGTTATTTATTATACCATAACAACATGGAACGACGAAAACACACTAACGTGATTCAAATGAACAAACAAGAATCTTGATCAACAGTTTATTAATACCTATGTAATTCAAAATAAATAATTTTGTTACAATTGTCCTTCTTTCTTTAGAACATTAGCTCCTTTTTTGTCCAATAGAAATTCTCTCAGGTTCAACTTGTAACACATTTACGTAGGTTTGACCGAAATCTATTTTAAATGACATTTTTTCAGATCGAGATGGCAAAAGGCAAGAGAGGCATTCTAAAGGAGATGGGAGTGGGATAATCCAGCTGTTCCCGCGAAGAAAAACTTCTCTGACCTGATTGCAAACTTCCAGCAACAATGAATTCCACAAATTCGACCCTTCTTGACTACCAGAAAGATGAAATAAACTTATATTATGTAATTTGTGAAGTTTTGGTGGCAGTGTTTGCGGTGATCGGCAACGCCTTAGTGATATTCGTATTTCGCAAAGAACGTCGACTGCGTCGAAGGACGAACTACTACATCGTGTCCTTGGCGGCGGCTGATTTTTTAGTGGGACTTTTGGGGATTCCTTTTGCGATCATGTCTTCAGTTGGTTTACCAACAAATCTCCACGCGTGTTTGTTTACGGTGTCGTTGCTTGTCGTTCTTTGCACTATATCGATTTTTTGCCTGCTTGCTGTGTCGGTTGATAGATATTGGGCCATTTTGCATCCGATGGGATATTCAAGGAATGTGAGAACAAAGACTGCCATAGGTAACATTTTTTATAAGCTTTTATATATTTTTATTTAACTTACTTTATTGTCAAGTTGTCTGTCTGTCTTTCTGTCTGTCTGCACCACGATCGTAAAATAGACAGGTCTGGAAACTCGTGTTTCAAAATTGAATTAAAAAATTTGGATCTCAGTAGGTTTTGAGGGCAACTATACCCGTGGTGCCTCTATCGGATACTACGTTAATTACTGCGTATTTATGAACGAAAAATGACGTCTCCCTGCGTAAATAATGTCAAATATTAAATTAGCACTTGTCATAATTTGTTAGGTTACTGTAAGCTTGTCAAAATTGTTAAAAAATGTGCAAAAACAACTTAATAAGTGCCACATATAAAGTACAATATGTTTAATAAAAGTGGCAGGTAAGTGCCGTTTCATTTATTTAGTCCTCGAGGAGGCAATCCTCTGGAACAAGTCGCTATTTCCATTCTAATTCTAAAAATTTTTTGGAAAACTAAGTTCGATAATAGAGAGGGTTTATATCATAATAAGACAGAAACTCGAATATGAATGTATATTCGAGAGCATTCTGTCTATACAAATAAGCAGTAGGAACTTAGGTAAATGTTTTTATTAATTTTTGTTCATAGAATTACCACAAAGTTCCGGAGTATTCTTTAACCATTCAGCACGAGCTGCTATATCGCTAAGTATTTCAAATAAAGTATCTTTTTCTCTACAAACAAAACATTTCTTGCCGATCTTTGAACTTTTTAAAAGAATGATTGAAAATTTGACAAAAATTGTCAAATTTGAAATATCTATAGTCTTTAAGTTATCAAGTAGATGACGCTTGTTACCAGACGATTTTTTGAGGTTAGTAGAATTCAACGCATTCATATAAAATCGACAGTATGTTACGGCCGTATGGAGCGCAGCGGAAGACAGATGAAGTTGGCCATGCTAACTTTTTGCGTTAGTGCCACCTGCCGGATTACACGAGAAATAGGTCATAGTTATATTACAATCACCATGACAACGTTAGCAATGGGAGTTGAAAAATTTCATTCATAAAAAGGCAGAGTCGAACCACCATCTTAACTACATCGTKGTTTTGAGGTGTTGCAGTCCAAAGTCTTTATAATGGGAGGTYGCCTGGTAACAGTATCGGTAATACAGTGCGCTGCAGCGTGACGTCACCCAGTATRCTGGGACGCCGGTGACSACGATCGTAAAATAGACAGGTCTGGAAACTCGTGTTTCAAAATTGAATTAAAAAATTTGGATCTCAGTAGGTTTGGGGGCAACTATACCCGTGGTGCCTCTATCGGATACTACGTTAATTACTGTGTATTTATGAACGAAAAATGACGTCTCCGTGCGTAAATAATGTCAAATATTAAATTATCGCTTGTCATAATTTGTTAGGTTACTGTAAGYTTGTCAAAATTGTTAAAAAATGTGCAAAAAACAACTTAATAACCGCCACATATAAAGTACAATATGTTTAATAAAAGTGGCAGGTAAGTGCCGTTTCATTTATTTAGTCCTCGAGGAGGTTTTTGGTTTGGTTTTACACTTGATGATAGGAAACATCCTTTAACTTTTAAACAAATCTGCATTTTTTAGAATAACGTTCATGCTATCGAGTCAATCCATAGTATTTATTAATTGCCACCTTACCGTCTAGTAGAAAAAAAGAGTAGAAAACATTGCTGTTATTGATCTTTACACAAGATATGCTACCTATGATGATAATAATGCAAGACCTTTAAAAAAGACGTGGAAAAGAAGTGTTATTGAAGAAATAAAACAACAAATAGATAATGTTATAGTAAGTAACTTTTATACGTAAGTTATTTTTTAGTTATCCAATTCTAACTAATAATGTAGCGATCAAGGTTGGTGTAAAATTTACAATAGAAAGATTTTGTAAAGACAATCTTCCAAAACTTATAAAAATGGTGTTTTTTACTTGGGCAGAACCCACTTCGTGTACAGCAAGCTTTTTTGAATAATAAAGAAAACGACAATCACAATAAAGACAATTTCAGTATCTATTTTTGTGGTGAGCAGAGTGAACAAATAAATAATTTTTTAAAAACTTGATACATTTGTGTACTCATTTATCTATAGGACTTTAAAGACAAAATATTACTTCTTAGACTGATACAAATATGTCAAAACTCAAAACCCTAGTCGATTAAATGCTTCAATGTTAAATGTTTTAATGTTTTCTCTCTAATTTTGTATCTTTTTTCTCAAAATGTAATTGACAATTGTCTTTTCTTTGCAGTACATTATTTGGAGTTTCATCCCTTGCCCTTGGATCCAATTTTTCTTTCACCCAAAAAAAACCCAATTGTTTACTACTTCATTTAGTCGTGCAATGGAAAACAGCACAAATTCTGGGCATCCGCAGAAGTGTTTTTGTGTAAACAAGATTTAAAAACCAAATATTTACCTTTTTGATTGCCAAAAATATTGAACGACCAACTCAAACCCAAAAAATTTTTTTAATATTTAATTTATATAAAAAATCAAGTTTAACAGAACGAAAGAAAACAAGAAAACATGAAGTATAAATCAAAGAAAACCATCCTAAAACACCGAAAAACTGTGCACAAGCGGCAAAAATATTTAGAAACGTTGGAAATAGAAAAAAATTCACTTTTTAAATTTGTGGTTAGCTGCCAAAATGCTGTCAAACAGTAAATTAATAAAATCACCACGTGAAGGCGCCACGGGTATAGTTGCCCTGCATAACCACCTGCGATTCAGAAAAAATAATTCAATTTCAAACGTATTTATGAATGGAGTTTCCAGACCTGTCTATTTTACGATCGTGGTCTGCACGAAATCTTGCGAGTCAAATTTGAGACAGTTCCTGTCGTCCGAACAAACTGAAATTTATCATACACACGTAATTCCCGTGATAATGATAGTACAATAATATTTACTTTAATTAATACTTAATAAATGATTAACAATTGTTGTAAACCATTTTCAATATCTCAGACCTTAATTGTAAATAAAATTTTGTATACATAAAGTCAAGTGGGGCAAATTGGCCCCTAAATTTGTGAATTCAATTTCATACGGCTCATTTACTATTTAATTATAAAGAATTTTTATTTATGTAGCTTATTACTCTTATATTGGGCTCTTATATTAAGTATTTAGTAATATGGAAAAAAATGTTTTCAAAAAAAATGTGGGTCTAAATGGAGTACCATGTCTTATTATTACATTTACCCCGTGTAACGGGGCAAATGTAATATTCATATCACATTTTTCTGGGGTAATACAAATAATAAAAGGAAAAAAAAGAACAAAAGTAGAGTTTATTCCAGAGATTGGACAATCACAACCAAAGTTAGAAACTTTTCAAAAAATAGCATTTACATACCATGCCTTTTGAAGGACCTACACAAAATAACACGTCACTCATTTGTCCGTCGATAAAACAGTATTAACATGTTTAAAGTTGATGAAGTAAGGGTGTGATATCAGATATGGTAGCACCGGCTTCTTTTAAGGGAATATAGCTTTAGTAGGTACGTTATTACATTTGCCCCACCTGACCCTACGTTAATTCCCGTGACAATACAATAACATTTATTTTAAATAATAATTTAGCAATAATTATAACCAATTATCAATATTTCGGCTCCTAATTGAATTATAAAGATGGAACCAAAGCCATTCGATAGATCGGGACAAAAACTATCGGCTTGTTCAAAAATCAACACATTCTAAAAAGACAAAAAAAAACAAATAAATCCAAAAATAAAAAAAATTAAAACTAACATGATTTCACGAAACAATAGGTAAAGACTAAAAAGTAATAAAAATATAAATAAAAAATTGGTTTTTAAAATAAGCTTTTATCCACAAACGGTTGAAAAATGACGCTTCTATGTAAGTAAAATTTTATCTTTCAGACATGCAGTAAAAACACTGTTTTTTCGCCTAATCGTTTTTCACTTTTACTTGAAATTTACTTTAACATTTACCAATGTTGTCCCTTTCTTATCTCTTTCGCTGCTTAAGCATTTTCTGGAGAGCTATAGTGTAGATTATCACTATTATCAACATTCCACACTTTGCACTATAAACTACACTTCACTAGTTAAATCAATCAACACTTACGAAAATCTCAACACAAACTCCGAAACTGACGCGTGACGTTTGTTATGATTTTATTACAAAGCGTCCTGATTATTTTGGTGATTTATTTGACAATTAGGGTGTTGCTCTTTTCTCTTCATCTGAGTCGTTTGCGAAAATATAGCGTATGTTATTTGGAGTAAAAGTGAGTTTATGTGACTCAGCTGAATCATTTGCCTCACCCCGTTCGACAAAATAAACATTCAGCCTTCGCCTTATAAACAATCACTTTTACTCCTAATAACATAACAAACTATTATTAGAAAAACGTACCTACTAAAAAGTAAGAAATAATTTTTATTCACAATCACCAATGTAATATACCTTTTAAAGGGTGGGAAACACATCATTAAATCTCATGAGGAGTAATAATATTGCTTCTTATGCACGATAGCCAACCTTAAAATTACAAAAATACCGGAAATTATTTCTTTCAAATTGTCAAGTTACGCATAATATTTCGTTAAATTAGTATTCAATTGCTTTTGTAGCAGTTTCTCTTAATTCTGGAGGAGTACATTGCTCCATTTCGACGACTTTAATTAATCAGATTTACACATTATTTCAATATTTTCTTTGACATTTCTGAAATGTCAAAAATCAAACGTCATTTGGATGGCCTACCACGTTTGGACCTTAACTTTGTTAGAATTTTATTTTACTCAAATAAATTTTTGACTGAAAATAATGTGATTGTGAATAAAATAACGTACAAATCTTGGTGGTAATGGCATTACCCCTTGGGCTTTATCCAATCTCGAGGCTGGCACCTCTCGATCGTATACATAAGCATTAGGGGTAATGCCATATTTACCACCTCACTTGTAATGTACTATTGTTTGTCAGAGAAGGACACCTTACACCTTAG